GAATTAATAATTTATTTTGATAAATAGAAATAGGGTTCAAAATTATTTAAATACTTAATAAAAAATAGTTATCCTTAAAATATTTAAATTAAAAGGTTCAAAAGTTTTAAAAAGAAAATTTTATGTAAAAGAGCTAGTGTAATATGAAAAGTTTACTACTCATCATCTTCTTTAAACTAAGAAATTCAAAAATTTATCAATTGAAATTAGAAGTATTATGTTTACAAGGAGATTCTAAATTGAGATAATATGATTGATTAAGTTAAAATTGTGTAACTAATTATTAATTAAATATTTTTTTGTTAATAATACAAATTAAACATTTAGGAGTCTTGCGTTGGAAGAATATTAATAGTAGTAAGATTTAGGAAATTATTAGTCAATAAAAATTAAATATTTTAAGAGTTTATTTGAACTTTAATTACACACCACTAAACCACTAATACATTATTAAATCTTTAGTTAATTATTACTTCTTTAATCTTTAATATAAACTTCAAAAAAAATTAATTGAGGATGAATATTATGTGAGCTTGGAGGATTTATTGATTGAGAAAACACTTTAAATTATTTTTCAAAATATGCTTTTATTTCATTTTTCTTACAAATATTAGATTATTTATCTTGTTGGAATTTTTTTTGTAATTTTCTCAAGAGAAAGATGCCATAATGCTAATTAAGAGCATTGTAGCGCTTATATAAAGCACCACAACGTTATCCTTTAAAGCACCATAAGACTTAAAAAGATGGATAAAGGAACCCGAAGATAGAGACCTCAACATCTAAGTGTTGATACTTGAGCGCTGCAGCACTACGCTAATTAAGAGCATTGCACCGCTTATATAAAGCAACACAACGTTATCCTTTAAAGCACCATAGGACTTAAAAAGATGGATAAAGGAGCCCGAAGATAGAGACCTCCACATCTAAGTGTTGATACTTGAGCGCTGCAGCACTACCACTACATTGTAGCGCCGCAAGTGCCACGACGTGATGTCTTGACCAAAATATTTATTCAATTCAAATTCAATTTTTATCAGCATGAAGGATGGTTAAAGTGGTTTAAAGGGCTTGAAAGTTGCACGTATGTGTGTGTTTATGTATTAGGGGGTTCTAATATTGGCTTGGAGTGTAAGAGTGAGCATGGCTGTAAGTGACGAAAGCATGTGCTGCTTTGCCTAAAAGAGTGAAAGGGAGTGCAGGGAGAAAGAGTGAAGCAAAGCCAAGGATTTGGAGAAGAATTCATAAGGCAAATAAGTATTTGCGAAGGGAGCCCTGGTGTATTTTATTATAGTTTATCTTTTTGTATTTTACATATAAACCTCTTGGTTTTATTTATGAAATAAATGAATACATTGGTGTTTTGTATAAAAATCATGTTAGGCTATTTTTATTCATTTAGATTTATGAATTTCCATTTTAACCTTTCATAATTATGAGTTTTAATTGCGATACATTGAAATTATTGTCTTACTTCTATTTCAACAAAATTATTCAGCAAGTTACAGTGGTCATACACTTGTTTAAAACCTCTTGAGAGCTTGAGATATGGATAGAGTATAAAGTATTAAATGGTGATTAATAACTATGGTTTGGAAGAAAAGAAATATATCAATTAAACCTTAATAATCACATAGGAAAATGACTCAATTAATTGTAAACTCTTAGTGCATAAACATATAACTATTTAAATTTTAGAATTACGACTTTTAATTATCGAAAGAGATTAGAAGCCACCTTTATTCTTAATTGACGGTATCATAGTTTTAAAATCATAATTAAGGAAATTAAATTGGTAATTTTTTAAATCCAAAGGTTCATTTTAAATTTAATATTTATCTTCTGGCATTATTTACTGAAACATAAAAAATTTAATGAGTTGAATAGAAGTTAGGGTTTGTGAAACTGATATTTATCTTCCTTAACTTTTGTTTGCATCAATTATAATGGAAATAATCTTAAACTCACATCACTTTAATGCTTGAATGATACATGCACTTATGTACACTGTGCATAGGCCAAATCATGTATATGAAATTAATTTTAATTTAGAGCTTAATAGGGACAAATAGGTCATCATTTGTCTCACTTAAAATCAAATAGATAAACTTAAACTTGGCTAAGTCTATGAGTAATATATAAATCCAATTAATATCTAACTTAAGTCAATTATCTATAATAGACTAGAATAATTTTATTTAAGCATGAATTAGACAAAATGGATAATTAAACTTTCCATTATAAGTTACTATGTTCTAATATAAGCTATGCTTAGGTCAACTCTACCCTAATCATCTCACTAACTAATATAGGTTAATAAAAGGTATTTCAATCTGCTTGTGTTTAAATTTAAGTTTTAATTAATAGTATATAAGCTAAATTAGGCAATTAGTTTATTTAGGTCAATTAAACCCAAGAATTGGTACAACTGGGTTATCTTATGGCCAAATAATTATAAACATAATTTAATTAAAATTTAAAGCTTGAATAAATAATTAAGAATTTTGGGTTGATGCTAGAGCAATATAAACTAGTTTAGCTAATTTCTCTAAAGGGTATTAAATTACAGATACCTAGGGTTAACACTTATGTTAGCCTAGATGCTAGGTCTAACAAAGATTATCCTAGAAAGAAATATAGAAAACTATTTGCATACTTGAAGGAGCTTATGGTTTTAGTTGGGTAAGCCACGATCATGCAATTAAGACTTTAAAGTTGATCATGATGGAACATAAGGAGCTAGGGACAAACATAAGCACGATCAAATTTGGGTTGGGGATGCTAGATAGCTCAATTGCTTTGATTGGAGTGACTAATTTAACAATGTAGGTTAGCCAATTTGAGCTACTCTAGTTTAAGTAGAATTGTTAAGATATATGGTTTTAATTAAGCCACCGAGATAAATTTTACCAAGTGTGTAAAAAACTAGGCTTAATTTATAGTTCAATAGGTTGGTTCATATTTTTCCTAGTTTAGGTCAACCAAAATTTGGATGTTTATTAGTACTATATAAATCCCATTAATAACTAAGGAATAGCTTATAATTGCCTAAACTAAATTTAATTAGACATGGATTAGACCAAACGGACAATTAAGTCATCTATTATAATTTATTGGATAAAATACATGTCTGATATAAATCAAAGTGGGCCTGTTGATCTCATTTTTGTGAGGTCTTTCTCTTTTTCTCTCTAGAACTTAGAGTTTTAGCCTTAGGGATTCTTAGTATTCCTAGAGGACTAGTGGATGGATGAGACTCAAAATTAGAACCTAAATGAATTCTTCACTACCATTGGTTCAAATATTTTAATCCTTAACATTTTGGTGTTGAGTCGATTGAAGCTAAGATATTAAAATCAAATTTGAGTACTCCTATAAATTTTACAGAAGTTTGTAGGTGACCCATTGAACTTAGAGACTTAACTTTGTGCCTTAAGTGCTCTTTGACTTTATGGGACCTACTCAATCAGACTTAATATTTCCTCTTAATTTAGTATTCCTAGAGGACTAGTGGATGGATGAGACTCAAAAGTATAACCTAAATGAATTCTTCACTACCATTAGTTCAAATATTTTAATCCTTAGCATTTTGGTGTTGAGTCGATTGAAGCTAAGATATTAAAATCAAATTTGAGTACTCCTATAAATTTTACAGAAGTTTGTAGGTGACCCATTTAAGTCTGTAGGTGACCCATTGAACTTAGAGACTTAACTTCGTGCCTTAAGTGCTCTTTGACTTTATCGGACCTACTCAATCAGACTTAATATTTCCTCTTAATTTACGTCTTTTGCTTAAGATGAACTCAAGCATGTTTGGAGTCCATTTTAAACCATAGTTAAATTTAAATTGAAAGTGAAATGAATAAAAATTGAGTTAAAGTTGGACTTAAACACATAAATCAAAGTCAAGTAATTTAATTTTTTACATAAATCAATAAAAAATAGCCTAAAATTCAAAATCAAAACATCTAATTCCAACTAAGCAAAAATGAAATGAAGTCTATAATAAATTTAAATTTGAATACAAATGATAAAAAAATATTAAATGTTGAAAAATCTAAATGAATTCTTAATTAATTTTTTTTTGACAATTTTAATCAATTTAAATAAAGGTTTAAATATAAAATTCAAATAATAAACAAAATAAAATTGAAATATCATTAATCCAAAATTCTAAAATAACTTGATAGAAATGAAACATAAATCAACCAATACAAGCTTAAAATAAAATTGAAATATATAATATAATATAATATAATATAAAACTTTACTTCAAATTAAACTAAAATTATATTATATATATATATATATATATATAAATTATATGCATGTTGCCAAAGCTAACCTTTCAGGTGGAGGAACGGGAAGAATCGACAGGTACGCTTTTAAGTTATTACACCACAATTTACTTTGCACCTCTCATTTCCTACTTGTAGACTTGCATGTTAAACAAAAATGTCACCCAACATGTTAAAACTAAAACTTTAGGATAGCCAAAAAACTGAAACCAAAACTAAAAATTAAACAAGATAAAGTTCATCGCCACAACAGTTAAAACATAAGATACTCAAAATTTAATCACAAACGAAATAACAAAAAAAACTGCAAATAAATTAAAACGTCTCTATCAAATGACTGGGAATCCCTCGAAGGATGTAACCTATTGTATATAATTATAATTGATATAAAATCAAAATTCATGTGATAACTTAAAATTTTAGTAATAAAAATAATAAGAAAGTAAATAAATAAAAGAAATAATAATAATAATATGACTCAATAATAATAATAAATAAATAAAAAGTGAGATAAAATGGCATTCTTCATTATTTTTAAAGCAAAACAATTTATTTATTTTTACTTAGCCAGCTGACCGCTATGTCACTCGACTAGCTGAGATAGCATCCTCTTATTGGGTAAGTGCCGCCACTAATCTTGCCAGCTCAGCACCGCCTAACCGATTCATCTAATGGCTACAAATAACCCTCTATAGTCGAAGCCCTAAGGTATCACGTTCATTCGGTTTGCCGGCTCCTGCATCTCTTCGTTCGCGAGACTAGCTTCCTTCTGCGATCGTCTAAGCCGCGAGGATCTCTCTCTTCCTCCGATCAATCGATAGAAAGGATCTTCTCCTTCCTCCAATTTTTCGGGCTGGTTTTCTTTTCTTTTCCTCCGATCAACCCGCAAGAAACATCAATCTGGTAAACCGAAACTTCTATTTCTTTACTGGATTGCATATAATTGCTTAAAATTCTCGTTATTCATCTCTAATGTTTAGATCGCATGCTTTAGCTTAGGATTCGGCGTTTTTTTATCTTATTTCGGGATTTATAAAATAACCTAGGTAAAATTCATGTGTTAAAACTCTTTGTTCATAATCGAATGCTGTTTAGATGACTTTGCTAGTTTTGCTTCTTTTACTGTTCTACATAATATGGACCTTCCCTTTCCAAATCTCCCCTAAATACTCATTCTCCAGAATATTATTAATCCATCCCTATTATTTTTTGTATTGGATCTCGAACTAAGCTAACATAAATTTGGTTCCATTTACTTCATCGCTTATGGATTTTCTTTCAGAAATTTTAATAGTCTTTTCTCCCATTCATTATCAGCTTTTGGTCTTTAAAAATGAAGATTATTCATCTTATAGTTGTTGAAAATTGATATTCTTGTTTTCCCATGTATTTGACGCTCAAGTCCTGCTACTAGAACAGCCCATTAAATCTATTTAAAACTTGCTCATATACGCCCATATTTCTTCAAAGAAACTTTCAATGATCATCCATCTTTCTATGTAGAACTTGTATATTTATATTTATGATATGTTATTCTACTAAAACATATATGTATGGATTGTTTACTTTTAATACATTTACATGCTTTGCTTAAATTCAAACATAATCTTGCTGGTCTTGTTTATTAACTAGCGTATCTATGTACTTATTATTTAATTTTGAATATAAACTTACAGATTTACTATAGTTCAAAGTTTTTACCCTAATAAAACATAAATTCTGGATGTAGCTTTGATAATTTGTATGAAACTCTATATATATTTACATTATATCTAAATTTGAATATAAACTACAGATCTTTAAACTCTTAGATACTTATACTTTAAGTGAACTTATATATTTTCAAATCATAAAATAGTTATATATTTATTACCCAAACTAAAAACTGAGTATACATCTTTTCGTAATTCTTAACATCTAAACTTTAAATAAGTATAGAAATCACTTAAAGTTTAATGGATGTATATATATATAAAATACATGAATTCTTAAGTTTATATCTCGATAATGCTGTTTTGTCTAAAATATTTGCATTACATTACCTAAACTTTAAAGTTTATATGCAGGTTATTTCATGTTTGAGCATTTACGTACATTATGTTCAAATTTTAGAAATCTAGATAGTTTTTTTAAGATTCTTATGTACTTGTATATTTAACACTTATACTTTAAATTGAGTATACAGATTTTTTTTTTATTAAGATTCTTGTGTATTGCAGATATAACATCTATCCTTTAAACCGATTGTACAGATTTCAAACCCCCAGGTATTTCATAACTAAATTCCAATTGTATATTTGCTTTTTTTGGTTTTGTTTTCAAATCTTGAAGTAGCTATTTATCTAATATCTAAGTTCTAAATATATGTTCATAGTTGTAAGTACTTATGTTTACAATACCTAAATTCTAAATATAGGTTTACTGATTTTCCCAAATTCTGATATAGTTATATACATAACACTTAAAATTTAAATATACATTTGCGGTTACTGTTATCAATGATTTTGCTATACTATAACCTAAAAGTCATAGAAAACTTATATTTTACTTTTCTTCATTAGATTATATAAAATTAAAACAATGAACTACATTAACAGGTTTATAGTAAACTATCATCATATATTCTTAATTCATAAATACAAATAAAAGAATTTTTATGAATCACTTGGAATCAGGTAAGCCAATAAAAAAGATAAAAAATAATAATAATGATCCTCTCAAATCTTAATGCAAACTCTTAAAAATATATGAAAATTCTTCACAAGTAGCCCTATGTTGATGACTGCAATGTAAATTGGTTTCCTTTTTCAGGGCTAACACTTCGAAGAATAGTGAAAATATTTTTTCAATAGTTTTAATTTTTAAACTTCTCCGATAAGATATTGTTCCTCTTATTCTAAAATATCAAGTTTAAAAAAAGTAAACCCAATTTAAAAGTGAGGTATTTTCTTCACTCATATTTTTTCTTTGGAACTCTAGAAGTTTTAGATATAGATAGATATTAAAAAAATATAAGCTATTGAATTTTAATTTTATTTTAAAGTTTCGCCGTCCAACAATCATGTTTGGGTGAAATTGCACAGATGCACTTGAACATCACTGAAATAGCAAAAATAAAAGTAAATGGAAACAATCAGATGCACTAGTGGCTTCTAGCACTCTACGCTCTATATAAAGGGGAAAATCATCCCTTTTTCTCTTAACCTAGTTTCTTTGAATTCTCGTCTCGCTTTTTCATACAGACTGCCCTGCCCTTTGGATTAGGTATTCGATTCTTCCTTCACGAGTTTTCATCCCGAAGCAATCTTCTTCTTTCTTATTGTTATACTACTGTGGCTGTTTTTCTGTTCTCAAATTGATTGAAGGCTTTTGTTCGTGGCAGAGTTTCTTAATAAGCTTTATAATTGTTATCACTAATAGAAATGTTTGTTGAGTGGTTTGCTCAATTGATGTGTGTTTTGGGCTGCTCTAGATTCGACCTTGTGATCTAATTGATTTTCTGGCCTTTTTCTCAAGTAGATGTGGCTTTTGGTTATGGTTGTGTAATCATGCCATTTGCATCACTTGATTTGCACCTATTAGGATTGTTTTTGATTAATTCTTAGGTGTTTGAAATTTTCATAATTGGTTCTTATAAAATTATTTGCTTTGCATTTCAGTTAAGGGGCATTTTTATGTTTTTTATTATCGAAGAATATCTATTGTTATATAAAGACAATTTATTTTTACAAGTTTCTGTATTCTGATCCTTTGGTTTTATAAGTCGTTCAACCTAATCCTGCAGTACTGGTTACGGTTTATCTCTCTGCTTAATACGTAAATCTGCTTGTTTGTTTTATTTCCCGATGTAGTAATTATTTAAGTTCTGAAATTCCTATTTATTTGCCAATTCTGATATAGTTAAAAGAAGAGAGTTTGGATATAGGTTCTTAGATCTTAATATGGATTGTATTATTAAATTCTTAGGCTATAATATTGCTATATAAAGACAATTTATTTTTTTATGAATTTATGTAATCCGATCATTTCGTTTTATAAGTTGTTGTTCCACCTAATCCTGCAGTACTGGTTACGATTTATTTCTCTGCTTAATGTGTAAATTTGCTTAGTTTTTTTACCCGATGTAGTAATTATGTAAGTTCTGAAATCCCTATTTATTTGCCAATCCTGATATAGTTAAGGGAAGAGAGTTTGGATATAGGTTCTTAGACCGTGATATTGATTGTATTATTAAATTCTGTTAAAACTTAATTCTTTGGGCAGTCTGATTCATTTTACAGTCTACCTTATTTAGAACAAGTGAAATTTCAATTGTGCAGAATATTTTAGTAATATTTTCAGTATTTAATGTAATATTCTTTAATTTGTTTTGATTTTCCTGTTTATGCGTCTGTTTATGCCATTGTTTCTGAAGGTTCAGATGGATGATTTTTTGTTTTTTTTGTTGAGGCTTCTGTTTGGGTGACATCATTTATAAATTCAAAATCTATGGTGCATGAAATGCTTATTTGGCTTGTGTAACTGAAGTTACATAATCATTATCATGAGAACTATTTGGGAACTGTAATGGCATAATATTTATTATATTTGTAACGTTGTAATTCTTGCTGGTCGTCTACCTTTTTTTTTTATTTTTTTGTGGGCATTTTTCTATTATTTCAATGTGTCCCCGCAATTTGACTTGAGACCTCTTCGCTTTATATGTTAAGTATGAGCGGTTACAGATTTGAAGGATTTGTATATATTTTTCCTTATCTATGGATTTTTTTATTTAATCACTCCTGATTTTATTTTTCCTTATCTAACTTTTTTTTTATTTTTGTGGGCACTTACTATTATTTCAATGTGTCCTCAATTTGATTTGATGCTTCTTCACTTTATATGATAAGTATGAGCGGTTACGGATTTGAAGGATTTGTATTTATTTTTCCTTATCTATGACTTTTTTTATTTAATGACTCCTGATTTTATTTTATGCAATGGTCTGATAGAACATTACTCTGCAGGAAAGCCATACTAATTTTTGTAAGGGTCTTAATCATTTGGGTTTTGCTTATTCCAATGATTTTAAAGACGGTATGTTAATGCTTTCAAAATTCAGGTTACCTGGATGCCTCCTTTTGCATATTTGTGTATTTTTTCTTGTTGGTGTATGTATGAAAATTATTTTAGTGAGTTTCTTCTCACAAACAAGCTGACAATGGAGTGTGAGTATCAGTAGGTGCTAAAAAGGTTTTGTTGAATGTGTTATAGTAAAAGATCTAGCAAGAAAATTGAGAGCACCATGTCATTGAGAAATTGAAACATATGTTCTTTGTTAAAAAGACAAATTGCTTATTCACTTATCAGCTCCAGCGAAAACATTTATATCTGAAATTGATTTTATTTTGATGATCCCGTGGCATATTGGACCTTAGCTTTCCCTTATTCCTGATTGAACAAGTCTGTCAAGACATCTAGCATTTGTTATATTCCATGATGAAGCTTGTTACATTTGCAAACATTTATATTTGTTTCCATTTTAACAAATCTCCATTTTATTTAATGTAGTAGTTATATGTATGAAAGTTACTGAGTTGCTGAAATTGTTTCTTGATCATTAGCATCACCTATTTCAAAATGTTTATTTGTTCGTGTATGTGTAAGAATCAGTGATTTCTTTCATTTGAAGTGATTTTTTTTATAACATTATTAATTTCTTGAAGTAAATGTGAACTGATTTGAGTTGGGCCATTCATGACAACAACATCTAATGTTACATGCCATGGTGCATGGTGCACATTTGCATTCTGCGATATGGGGGGCTAAAATTGTGCACACTATTTGTGCTATTATTAAGCAATGATACATAATGTATTGCCCCTATTGTGCATGTTATTTGGATTATAGTTTGATATCAATTTTAATTTTATGCTTAATTTATTTATTTTGTATAATTAATTATCATTTTAATCTACATTATTTGTGGTTTATGGTTTATTTTAATTTATGAAATCAAACCATATAATTTAGAGAGTTCTAGACCTCCTTGTCGGCCCATCTCACTTGCAAGGGCCTCTCTCTCTCTCTTTCTCTACTCTCTCCACCTGCCAATCTTGTCTAAGTGATTCCATGTGTGACTTGCTGAGCCCGTCACTGTAGTATTGGGGCATGGTTACCGATCTTACATGAGTTGTGGGTTTAGGACTTTGCAATCAACTTGCTTCATCCTCTTTGATGCCTTCAATTGCTTGGTAAGGGCTTTGGGGTTTTGAAAATTTATTGAAGCAGCCTTTCCTTCTTCAGTTTTATTCACATTAACATTTATCATATGTGCCAATGTCTAATTTGATTGAATTTCTTTACTAATTTACTAGCAAACCCTTTTGGAGATTTTTTTTTCCTCTTATTTTTCTATTCAATCGTAAAATAATGGCCATGAAATGAAATTTCATATTGTTTTTTTAAACTATGTTCAAGTACTGCATGAATTATTAGGTTTCAAATTTCTAATGATTGAGGTGTTAAAATATTATAAGTGTTAAATAATTAGAAGAATAAACAAAAAAATTTGATGATAATCATGTGAATTTTAAATTTCTGATGACTTTTTGGGTTGTGGCTTTTAAAAAGCTTATAATTTTTTTTTTCTTTTTTATGTCAATCATCAATTTGTTGAAACTATGAGCACTTGAACCTTAGCATCACTTTGATTTTTTTTCATTACATGATGGTTTATTTCGATTTAGTAGTCTTTCAATTTAGTTGCTTTTCATTCATATTTAATATTTTTTTCTATAATTAAAATAGTATGTTCGACGATATGTACTATTCATTGTGGTTACACGTGGTAGTTAGTATGTTCGACGATATGTACTATTCATTGTGGTTACACGTGGTAGTTTGCACTATGGTGCAGTGTTTATCATTGATAAGCATGGTGGTTTTCAAGTCTTTAATTGTTAAAACATGCTTGATCTTTCTACTCTATAATCTAATTACGAATTAGAGTCATTAATATATCTAATATTATATTCCTTGATTGATTATTTTTCTTTTTCAATATATTTGCTTTATTTTATCTTTATATTATAGACATTTCATATATAATATTAACATTTCATATATAAAAATTCACAAATGATGAAGCCAAGGTGGTATTTTAAAGAATATATCCCTTGCAAAGTATCATGAAGTTGAGTTCCTTGAATATCATCATTATCAATAGCTTATTCTATCCATTTGGAGTGGACTTCATGAATCCTGTCTATGAAAATGTTTTTTTAGTGGTTCTTAATTATTACTAACAAATATTATTTCATGATTTGAACTCAATATCATTTTCCTTCAAGTAATTTATAAATTGTCTTTTATTGAAAAGCCATTATTAGTTCTTTTATTATTCGTTCGTTTTGTGGGATGGTTTTATTATTGTGCTGTTTTTATTAATTTTCTTAAGATGTACAATTGTTTTACATTGTGTTTTTTAACGATTTGATGTTTTTTTTTAGTAAATTTAAGATAGTACAAATATGCGATAATATTAATATTCTTGATTATGTCATCATCTATTTTAATTTTAGAGCTTGTAATTAATGTATCCTTTCTGATGTTTTTAAAGAAGCTAGACACCGTCAAGGTAGCATGATTATTTATACCCACATGAAGTGAGGTTCCAAAATTTTCTACATATTCTATTTCTTGGGAACAATTTTAGAGTTCAATGTGAGTCATCGTAATAAAATATTGAAATCTAGTGGGATAAAGTACATTTTCAAGTCTGTATCATTCTAAATATCAAAATGACAAAATTCTGTTAAAGAAATTGGAATAAAAAAAAAATGATTATATACTTATATTTAATGAATAGCCAGAATAATTGGAGTGATAATTACTAAATATAATATAATTAAAAATAAGCTTTCATTAATTGGACATGGACATTGAAGCTTTTGACTCATGATGCGACGTCATGTCAGGCATGTTGAAGGCGACAAAGCCTCTTCGGATTGGAAGCAAGACTTCTGCACTTGTCTCCTTAGTTTCATGGCCAAGTTATATGTTTTTGAGGTGAAATAGGGCGTATGAGATTGATTTAAGGTACAGGAGATTTATTTAGAGTTGTTGGTTTTGAAAGAGAAGCACAATACCAAGTTAAGTGTTGTCGAGATGATAATTGTTAGGTGGATGAGTGGCTTTACACTTAGAAACAAAATGTGAAATGAATATATCCGTGATAGGGTTGGTGTAGCTCCTATGACGGACAAAATTCGGACAAAATGTCTTCAATGGTTTAGTCACATTAAGCGTCGACCATCTGATGATCTGATTAGGAGAGTAGTTGTTTTAGATTCGATTTATTTTAAGAAAGGCAGAGGTAGACCTAGGAAGACTTGATATATTGTATAAAAAATGATCTTAATTTATTAGAACTAAATGAAAATATGACACTAAGTAGGGCACAATGGAGAAAACAAGATTCATGTAACCGACCCCATGTCGTGGAATTAAGACTTTGTTGTTGTTGTTGATTTTGAAAGTCGGGGTCCTTCCCCGCGCTAATCTACCAGGGTTAGGGGTGCTTTGATCTCATATTTTGAAGCTTTTGACTCATGATATGACATCATGTCAGACACGTTGAAGGTGACAAAGCCTCTCCGAGATTGGAGGGCTTTCGACTCCTGCTCTTGTCTCCTCAATTTCATGGTTAGGGTATATGTTTTGGATGTGAAAGAGGGCGTATGAGATTGATTTAAGGTATAGAAAATTTATTTAGATTTATTGATTTTGAAAATTAACAAGGGAAATTAGAGATAGTCATGATTTGACTATGATTTGGCGGGATTAGGTTTGGGAGATGAATGATGGCATACGGTCGGATTTAGGGCGCATAAAAATTATTTAGGCTTGTTGATTTTGAAAATCAGCAAGGAAAAATTAAGGTTACATTAAGATTTGGCTATGACTTTGTATGTTTAGGTTTGGGAGGAATTTGTTAAATCTTGGGATGGAATTAGAGTTAGGTTAACTCTAATACTAAATGATATCGGAGAAGGGGGGTTGGAGAAGATTCAATGAGAACAATCAAGCAAGCAATTTGAGACAAGAAAAGAAACAACCAGAGTAAAGGCGAGATGCACTAATCAAATAACAAATAAATTTTTACTCTCACAACCAATCAAGCTTCAAAAATCACCACTCGAAAGATTGTTGAAGAAAGAAAACCCGGAATATCACCACCAACAATGGAGGAATGCAGTTGTCGTCACCCAATGCCATAGATACGGGCTCATGTCCATCCAGGAGCCACAAAGGGAGCACATGCCCTCACAAATCTCAAATGAATAAAATATCCTTAATACAATAAAAGACTTAATATTTATAATCAACAAAGGACCTAAACTTAATAAAAATAAATAGAAAAAATTACGGCTATTGCTACTAAGAGTGGGCTGCTACCCTAGCCCCAGAGAGGGTTGATCAGCGCTCCCCCACTTTGGACCAAATTGGTTTGGGTCCCCTGCCTGCCCCGCTCAATAGTGAGAAATTAATATGTTTTACGCTGTTGCATTTTTTTTATTATTTCTTTATTTATACATTTGAAATTATTTTCCATAATCTTTGTTTTCTGTAAGCTTTAGTGGCGAACATAATTAGAGAGCCGTCTTAGATGGTTTGGTCGCATTAAATGTCGATCATTTGATAATCCAGTTAGGAGAGTAGATGTTTTAGATTTGAAGAAAAGCAGAGGTAGATCTAAAAAGACTTGGGCATATTGCATAAACAATGATCTTAATTTATTGGAGGACTTAATTTTTTCTTAATTGAATGAAAATAAGACGCTCAACAGGACACAATGGAGAAAAAAGGATTCATTTAGCCGACCCTACTTAGTGGGATAAAGGTTTGTTGTTGTAGTTTTGTTTTCTGTAAGCTAGGTGTGCTACATTTAATCTTTTATGAAATCACCTTCATCTTTCATTTTACGGGATAAATAAACCTTCTCACATATTTCTTTCAATTTGCAATCTCCTTTTTTTTTTTATGAGCAAATAACTGCTAGACACTGTAGATATGAATTAAAATAGATGTTGTCAGTATTTGTTCCTACTCAAAGTAGGAAAAAATATGCCTCTATACTGTGTGGGAAGTATTAGTTTAGATATTCCTTTATTAAGGTTTTTCAGTAGAATGTGTAATTAATTAGTGTGATGCTCGATAATTTTTTCTACTGTGGATACCGGTGTTGTCTACCAAATGTTCAGTCAGTACTTAGGCTGACCTTCAAATGAATATTGTTTGTGTGTATGCAGATTCATATTTTAGCGGCGACTATAAAGTTCATTGTTGGACCTTTCATATCTTTCGAAGTGGAGGTTGTCAGGAGTAGTGTATCTTTTATGTCTGAATTGGACTCCTTTGGTTTGGGATCAATTGGGCTGCTTGGAGAGTACCGGCCTAGAAATAGGAAAAAGCACACATGCTTTTCTGAAAAACTTGGTGGCATTCATCTCGAGACGAAAAGTGATTTTATATCAATCAAAAGTTGCCACTTTATGCAACATACTTTTTTTGAGATCTATCTTTCTTTTACCAAAGAAGCAAGCCTTCCGCTTTCTTTTACTGCTGATACTGTCTAGCACAACCTTGTTCTTTTAGTGTCCTCTGCCGAAGATGGCGTTCCAAAACATAGGTGCTGCCAACAGCGATGATGCCTTCTACAGGTATAAAATGCCCAAAATGATAACCAAAATTGAGGGTCGTGGAAATGGCATTAAAACCAATATAGTGAATATGGTTGATATTGCAAAAGCGTTGGCTAGGCCTGCCTCTTACACTACTAAGTACTTCGGTTGCGAGCTTGGAGCCCAGTCCAAATTTGATGATAAAACAGGCATTTCACTTGTCAATGGTGCTCATGACACTGCCAAATTAGCTGCTCTGCTCGAGAATTTCATTAAGAAGTATGTTCAATGCTATGGCTGCGGCAACCCTGAAACTGAAATTATCATCACGAAGACCCAGATGATAACGATGAAGTGTGCTGCCTGTGGCTACATATCAGATGTGGATATGAGGGACAAGCTCACAACCTTTATTCTTAAGAACCCGCCTGAGCAGAAGAAGGGATCAAAAGATAAGAAGGCAATGAGGAGGGCAGAGAAGGAGAGACTCAAGGAAGGAGAGGCTGCTGATGAAGAACAGAAGAAGTTGAAGAAAGAGGCAAAGAAGAAGAGTAGTTCGAAGGAAGCAGTGACGTCAAAATCTACTGTTAAGAAGAAGTCTGCCAGCTCTGATGAGGAGCAGAACTCACCAAATGGGAGTCAGATTGATGAGCATGATGAGGTGGCCGATGATCAAGATGATGTCCAGTGGCAAACTGACACCTCTCTTGAAGCAGCGCGCCAACGTATACAGGAACAGCTGAATGCTGTTACAGCTGAGATGGTCATGCTTTCAACCAACGAGGAAGAGAAACCCAAGGAAAACAAGAAATCTGAATCCAACAGACCTAATGGACCTGTCCAGGAATCCAAGAACTGTAGCACTCACGACAAGCTTGTTATGGAAATTAGAGGCAAACTGGAGAACTGTTCCAAGCCAAGCGAGCTTGCCACATTTGCCAAATCACTGGCTGGTTCTCATCAGGAGGTCATGGATGCGCTCTTTGAAGCTCTCTTTGATGGGTCGGGGAAGGGGTTCGCCAAGCAAGTTGCCAAAAAGAAAAATTACATAACTGCTGTAGTGCAGGAAGAGGGGGCACAGGTGCTTCTGCTTCATGCTATTGAGTCCTTCTGTAGTAAATGCAACGGGGATGCGGTTAAGGAGGTGGCTTTGGCTGCTAAAGTTCTGTATGATGCAGACGTGCTTGAGGAGGAGTTTATTGTTCAGTGGTATCAGGAAGGCATCAAAGGAGCAACCAAGACTTCCCAGATGTGGAAGAATATGAAACCTTTTATTGAGTGGCTGCAGAGTGCTGAGTCGGAGGAAGAGTAAGTTGGTCTTTCAAATTTAGTAGTCAGTTGTTATGAGTGTCTCTAGTGGTGTCGTTTTATTGTGTGGTTTGTCCCGTGTGAAATATTTGCTTTTAATGTCGCTGCAGTACAAGTCTAGAGGTTATTTTCGAGTCCACAGTACCGCGTGTTTGGAGTCCAAATGGTACTGCTTTATGGTTGTGTGGTTCCCGTTCTCATCGTAAACTGTTTTGTATGCTGCCTACGTTCTATCTGGCGCATTAAAAATAAAGTACGTGTTGTGTGCATGAAACTATCCTTCCTTTTTCTGTTTTTATTTTAATAGGTGTTTCCTTCACATTTGGGGAGCTGCAAATTAAATTAGGGGGGGACCCATTTGAGTTGGGAGGTGGCTGATATCATACAAGTAATTATTTAATAATTGTTATAATAATTTTTTTTTATTTATGGTTTGCAGTTCTTTTTTTAAAGTGGTTATTTTCATGTAGCTATATCTTTTAGCAGATTTTTTTTTTTTATTTATGGTTTGCAGTTCTTTTTTTTAAGTGGTTATTTTCATGTAGCTATATCTTTTAGCAGGTTTGTTTAATAAGAGCTGTTTTGCACTAGTAAAATTTCTTAAAAAGATAATGTAGTTGTCTGATAGAAGTTGTCAACTGGTAGTGAAATAATTAAAAAAAGTTATTTTAAATATACATTAAGAAGGTTTGGATTACGTATGTTTTACTCTCGTTTTTAGTGTTTAATATATGTCTTGATTTAAAATAAAATATATTTAGTATGTTAAATAAAATAATAATAAATAAATAAAATCAAAGTGAATGAAAGTAGAGAGAATCATGATATTCTCGAGAGAGTCCAAGTCGTCATTATTATTATGTGGAGCGATTGGAATTGAGAAGCTTGGAATGGACTCTCAAAAGATTTCTTAGGAGTTCCGTCCAAAGCATCTAGACAAATCCACAAACAAAGAGGGTACTCGAGTGATGAGTTGATTTCAAGCCCAATATTAATAAATTACAAAATCTATGATGATACTGAGCAAGTGTTGAGTCACTCTGTGAATGTGATGTTATAGGGCATCACTATTAGCCACATTGTTGAATCCAAATATGTCCGAGAGACATGCCTAAAAATAAAGCACTAAAAGATGAGAGTAAGGTTGGGGGGAGATGGAGAAATTACACAGTAATTAACACTAAATTTCAGTAACCTTTATTCATGAAATGGAACCCCTATCTATAGGAATGGGTCATCGTACACTTACATACCACACCCCTAATTTATATAGTAATATACCCTTTATTCGTCTGAGGCGCACCGTCTTCCAGACACACAAGTCTGACTGGCTAAGCGTGTGGCATGAAACCATTTATAGGAATGGTTCATCGTACAATTACATACCACACCCCTAAATTATATAGGAGGGAGACAACGAGGGAAATTACACAGTAATGAACACTAAATTTTTGTAACCTTTATTTATGAAATGGAACCCCTATTTATAGGAATGAATCATTATACAATTACATACCACACCCCTAAATTATATTGGTATGGCGGGTGTATTTTAGTATGTACATAAATTTGGCACATGAGGCCTATAGATGTGGTCAGGCGGCCTTTAAACTGAGCGGCCCTCGATCCAAGCTGTTGTGAGGTCGGCGGTCGTTGGGACGGGCGACTGCGAGGTTGACTGTCTTTAAGTTTGGCAAGTACAGAGCTGAGAGCCTGTTAGACCGGATGGTTGTTGTGTCGAGTGGTCGGGCAGCTTTTTGTTGATGTTTGCCTCAGTCGTCTTGAAACTGTAGCTTGGCAAGTACAAAGCTGAGAGCCTGTTAGACCAGATGGTTGTTGTGTCGAGTGGTCGGGCAGCTTCTTGTTGATGTTTGCCTCAGTCGTCTTGAAACTGTAGGATCTGTTTCACTTTCTCGGTCTATTCGGGTTCGGAAACGTTAGATTCATCTGAGTGGATTTGATCAGATGGATTCTTCGGGGGGTAATATACTCTTTATCCGTTTGAGACGCACCGTCTTCCAGACACGCAGGTCTGTCTGGCTGAGCGTGTGGCTCTGGGTCGTCCTTAGTAACCTTTATTCATGAAATGGAACATCTATTTATAGGAATGGGTCATCGTACAATTACATACCACAACCATAAATTATATAGGTATGGCGAGGGTATTTTAGTATGTACATAAATTTGGCACATGAGGCCCATAGATCTGCTTGGGCGGCCTTTAAACCGAGCGGCCCTCGATCCAAGCTGTTATGAGTTTGACGGTCGTTGGACCAAGCGGCTGCGAGGTTGATATTCTTTAAGCAAGGTGGAGTTCAGTTGCATTGTGACAGTCATAGTGTTATTTATCTGGATAATAGTCACGTGTACCATGCGAGAACAAAGCACATTGATGTCAGGTATCACAAGATCAGAGAATTGATTGCTTCTGGTGAGATACTGTTGCAAAAGGTTCATACTGATGAAAATGCAACTGATATGTTGACCATGCTAGTTACTATCAACAAGTTATTGCATTGATTGGACTTGTTGAATGTTTGAAGTTGTTAGAGAAGCATGATGACCCAACTCACTTCAGTGTATGAAACTTCATGATGTATTTCTCCTAAGGGGCTGGATATTCACCAAGGTGGAGATTCGTTATGGTATGACTCATATAACATATAAGAGACAGATGTTGGAACGAAGCGGAGCGGAGCGGAAGAATCTGTCCAATCAAGGGAGTTTCGTTATGTGCGTTGAGGGCGTGGGGGCGTTGCCCCGCGGTATGGTACATGGGTAATTTGTGAATTACATATTGTACTGTAGGGTTTACTTTATGGTTATAAATAGACTTGTTTGTAACCCTAGGTCTAATTTTGTATCTTATACTCTTTTTCTTGATTAAAGGAAAAGTTGTCGCTCTGCTCCCGAGGACGTAGACATCTTTGTCAAACCTCGTTAAATCTTTGTTCTTCTTCTGGATTTGTGCCGATTTTTTTTTCTTTGCCCTAATTTCTCAACACGACCGACATTTTGGGACCTTCCAATTCAGCTTAGGCTTCAATACCTATGGAGGGTGACCTCCTTCATGACATTCGAATAAAGCGGTTGGAGGAGGAGATAATTGTGATTCAGACTTGTGAAGTTGCTTTTCAAGAGGAGTTGTTGTCTCTTAAAGAGGAGTTGTTGTCTTTGAAGGTTTAATTAGCTATCGTCAGGGAGGAAGTTTTGATCTCCCGACTATATGTTGAAATGAATAGAGTGGATAAAGTTAAGATAGGGGGAGAATTAATATTCAAGTGGCTGTCTCAGTTGAGATATGTCCCGGCTGAGGCAGCGATTAATAGTTTTGTGAAGTTTTTTCTTTTTGGTGTTTGTAAGCAGGTGAAAACATATGTAAATATATTTTATTGTATTAATATTACTTGTTGGTGGATTATATATATATATATATATATATAGATTATTTTGTTACAAAATATTTATATAAACATGTCTTTAATTTTTTTTATTGGCTCATCAATATGCATATTTGAATTAAATTTTTTCCCATGTTTTGATGCGACGAAAACTCTATATTGCCCTTATAGCCTTTAGGACTCTACTGTATGTTATAAGTATTGCAAAACGAATGTTAAACTCTTTTACATTTCATCTCATCCTGAGTGTGTGTTGGTTTTCTCAGAGAGAAAAGTGGCAGCATTATTCAGATTGTATGCTTTTGGGTCGAATGTCTTGATCCGAGAGGCTTAGTTGTGTACGTAGATCAATTTAGGTACGGGCTAAGGCTACCATTTTGCAGCAAAATGAGGTTCATTCTTAGCAGCTACTATATCATCCCGGTGCAAGTCATGGCAAACTCAATCACTATCATACTGACCTTTGTCATCTACATCTGACGGGTGGAGGTTTTGTGGTTAATAGCGTTGTTTGTGTACTTCTTCGATTTCAAGGTCGACCACGACAACTATGATGTGTTCTCATCTAGCCCCAAACTCTGGGTGTTGGGAGTCGAGAAAAAGATAAAGGATAAGTGGTTCCATGATCTCCACTCATCAACTAGGTTGACCATTACCAAGGAGGTGGTGAGGATGATGATGTTGTCATAACATATTTATGTTTATGCCAGTATTATCGAAGGAGAAATATCTCTGTGTTCTAATTTATTAAACATGATATTGTTGATCGAGAGCATCTGGGAGGAATCAGATGCGAGGGAGAAGAAAAGGATCAAGGCAACAGTGGCAAAGGATAAAGAGAAGAAACCCAGGGTAAAGAATCCTTTGGAGAGGAGGACCCTGCCCCTCAGTTGAGCAAGCCTTCAGGCAAGCTTGACGCGGAGAAGAAATATGGTTCCTATGTCCCTCTCTTCTTCTCTTCTTAATTTTTGTTTACTTGTTCGAGCAGGTATAAGGACCTCGTGTGCACCTCAAGAGACTCCATTGAAAACTTCAAGGTCACAGAAGTTGGCCTCTAAAGAAGTGGTTTTGTGGGGTCAACTAGTTAAGAGGAAAGAGGTGGGAATTGGTGTCACCTACATCGACCCAAGTTGTTTATTCTAGCCTTTGAAGCCGATGTGAGCTCTGAGGTTAAATTTTTGGAGAGAGCCGACCGGGACCGAAAGGGGAGAGGCCCGTAGAGGAGGAATCAAAGCCACCCCTTCTCTTGTCTAAAAATGAGAAATTGTCCCTGGAGTGGATCACCTGGATGGAGGGCTCGAGCAACAACTTCAGGAGTTTGGGGAGAAGATTTTTGATGGTGAACACAGAATGGGATTGGTTCACTGGCCTTGCCCCTAGGGAGGCGATTGCCTCCTCAGTTACCTAACAGTGGTGATGTGGTGGGACAGTCTAAATTATGTCTTGGTGGGCATGTCCTACTGATACACCTAAAAATTATGCAATTTTATATATACATTTTATGCTTAAATTTGGTGATATTGCGCTTTAAAGAAGAGTATTTTAATATTTTGTTGCAAATATATTGATTTTAGGCATTATAGCAAAAAGAAGCAAAAAAGAGGAAATTTGGAGTTAAAATGCAGCTTTTCAGCATCCTGGCGTCAGAGGTGCCAATATACAGAGAGCTGGCGTTAGAGGCGCCAAAATACAAAGAATAGCGCAGATTTCAGTAGGTGATACATCTAAAATATATAGTCTTTATGTACATATTTTTTACCTATTTTTGAGATATTGCGTTTTATTGAAAGATATTTTTGTGTTTTTCTTTCAGGTACAATCAAATGAATGAAAAATGATGGAAGGAGTGAAAAATGATAAAATTTAGAGAAAAAATGAAGGAGTGCAAAAGAACTGTGGCGCCTAAGCTCTCAAAACT